CTGCATCTTAGCTTGAAGTTTCAGTGCTGAACAAAACAAACCATCCATATTTTACCCTAATGCTACAAACATCAAAATGGATATCCAACCAAAGAAAGTGAACTTCAGAGGCAGCACATGCAAATGCTAAAATAGTTTTGATCCACATATCCAAGACAAGGCTTATATATACTGCTAATTTGTCTTATTAGACCAACTAGTAAATCACAGAAAACAAATTAGGTTTTGAACACTTGGTCTTTCTTCAGATTTGAAGGAAAACCAGTGTATTTCAAAAACAAATTAGTTGAAAAGAATTGCTTTAATTTTTGTTAGATCACCTTTGAAAGAAGAGATACTTTTAGAGGGGAGGAATCTTTGCTGCAGGAGAAAACAGGACAAAGTGAAATAAATTAGTTACCTCTAGGGGAAGGAAAGAGCTTATTTTAAGCTCTCAGGAAAGAAGTAGCAGTGAACCATAAAAATACAATCCTTATCATGTCTGTAATTTTTGGCATCCAGAAGAATAACACATTTTAGTTCTCAAAGTTGACTGTGGAAAAATGTTTATAGTTCTCCCTTGATAATCACAACAAACATGACAAAGAGTGATTGCCTCCACAGGTAGTTTTGCATTATTGTCCTCTATGAGTTCTCCCAGAGGTCATTTTGATGCACAATAACTTTCTAGTTTTACCTACACAGGTATTGTGAGGACACCTGGATCCTGGCTGGAATATATTACATTCTATGAAGAGCAAATATAGAATCTTGGGATTCTAATATTTCCACTGCAATATTTATTACAGTGGGGACAAATGGATCAGTTTTATATTTAATATTTAGACAAGAAATACCGTCATTCTGCACATTTTAGACTACCAAGCTTTTTCTGGTGATGAATTCAGTTAGGTTAAAGAGTAGTTCAGGAAATCTTTTCTCCAAGATATAAGCTTCTTTCAGCACAAGTGGTAATAATTAATATGCTGCAACCAGAAGCACACAAACTGAAGCAGGTTTTCTGTTTGTTTGGGGGTTTTTGATGGTTCGGTTTTGTTGTGGTTTTGTTGTTTGTGGTGTGTTTGTTTGTTTTAACTAAAGATTTGTACTACACATTTCATTCACTATGCAACATTTGGATAAGCCTTCCAACAATGGTAATTAATTTTCATCAATAATTAAGCTTATTGACCTAAAAAGATATCTTTAGATTATCAAAGTGACTATTGCAATTGTTCTCATTAAACGAGACACATGCAAAGGCCTGACTGTATGTTGCAGCAGTTTTTGGTACGTTTCAGATAATTGCTAATGCTCAACCTTCCAGCTGCAAGCAGCCACATTGCTTCTTATGGAGACACTGAAGGGTTATATCACCTATTCATCATTTGACAGACACTTCTTGTATACATGCAAAGAAGGCCATATATTTCCTGCTGGTACTGGGTGCACACTCACTACTTATATGTATAGGTCTTCATCCGATAAGCCTCAGGAAAAACAGCAGCCAAGAATGGACTGCTGCAAGCACAACTCATGCACCCTATACCAAATGAGTTTTATACTCATATTCTTCTCATTCCAAAGTGTCATTCCAAAGTATTTTCAGAGCACTCAGAAAAAAGATGCATTACAAACGCCATAGTTCTCCCACCCTGATCTACAGCACAGAAGAAACATTTGATGGAAATAAAGAGAAGTTATATGATCAGGAAAAATACACTAGTATTTAATATTCCAGTTTAGAACTCAGATATACACTGAAAACACTTCCATCCTCCCCTCTGTCTTGCAGTTCTTTTTCTAAGCCCTCACTCAACAGTGTGCTTAATCATATTAATTTCAGTGCCTTGCTGCATCTCACTCAGTTAAAACAACAATGAAGCAACCAAAATGGCCATTTCAAGTAGGTGTGTAAGCAAAAAGTCCAGTAAGTGAACCAAGTTTGAGATGTACTAAGTACCAAGAATGTACTGAAAGAATGCTAACCTGTTTGTTGACTTCAGCCATTGACAGTTGTAATGCCATCAGCATGTAGTCTGCTCCACATACAGTAGTCCTTTCAGAGTTTGAAAATAAAGGCCATTGTCTTCTGAAAAGTTTGATCAAGTTTAAAATTTTTTGCTGGAAAGCAATCATTGTCTAGAGAAGATAGAAGTAGTTAAGAGAAATAAAAATTAATATAACTTCGTAAGAGGTCTATGTGCGTCTTCACCTTCTAATAAGCTGTGCAAATCCTGTTGTAAATTCTTGCTGATCAAGTTTCTAGAATAAACTCTTCCCACTAAACCAAAATTCATGAGACTCACCTCACTATGACATAGCAACTATGAAGATAAAGGGTCAAAAGTGCTTATGTCACATCTTCATGAAGATCCCTAACTTTCCTAGTACATTACGCCAGAATAAAAGAGTAAACATTAACACAAATATGACAGTGCTTTGTCTCTGACAGCAGCCAATCTGAATGCCTCAGAGACTGTCTTCTGTACTGTCCGCTTTCACTATACATTCAGAGCAGTGTCTATCAGAACGTTTGGAAATAAGAAATTTAACATTTCTAAGACTTACTAAGATATCTCCAAAGGCTTTTCTTACCTACATATAGCCTTTTTTCTGTTTTTCATTCCATAAGTCAGTATCTCCCCTATTTCCTTTGGCAATGAGTTTCAGTATCAATTTTGAATTTGACTACTTCATGCTTTGGTCTTTTTCACCTTCTTGCATGTGTCAAGACACAGGCAAACAAGACTCTAAAAAATTCGCTTTCTTTAAACTTGTTCTCTCCTGAAACACAGTTCCCTAACACTGCAGTGACAGTACAGGAGCGATAGTCATACCATTTACTTTCAGAACAAAACCAACCTTTCCCCTCGTTTCATTGAGCTAAGGCGCAGTCCACAGCGGTTTTTCAGGTGATTGGTAACAATCAGGAAAAATGACGAAGCGTGGGAGAGGGGCATGGAAAAAAGGATACAGCGGGGAACAAGCAAGACTGTACCAGCACCTGTAATTATCTACTCTCCAAAATGTTTGAAGGGGACAATCTACTTTATTCTTTCACGTTGACATGAACAAAACTTGCGGGCCACGGAGGATGAAACAGGCAGACAGGTGCAAGTCAGTGCGGGGCAGACAAAAATCCCTCCAGAAGCGTTTCTCTCTCTCCCCCATTCTGAGAGGTTTCCAAGGAACAAGACCTGTCACTCGGAGCGAGCGCCCAGCGAAACAGCCCGAACAACCGAAAAAGCCTGCGAAACACCCTCCAAGTCCTAAACCCCAAGAGCCGACGTTACCATTGCCACCACCGCCGCCCTCGTCCCACTCCCCCAGCTGAAACCGGCTGTGGCCGCTTCGGGGTCCCCCTCTCACCGCCGTCCAGCCTTGCGCAGCTCCCCCGCCTCAGGTAGAACGCGAAGCCTCGGCACCCCCGCCTCTCCTGGAGAAGGACCACAGCCTTTACCCCCCACCCGCAGACCTGCTTTTCTAGCAGAGCTACCTGCGTGACTGGGAAAACAGAGCAGCCCGCGCAGCGAGTCAGTTACAACACGTAATTACCCTCACCGGCGGTTTAAATTTAAATCCCCCGCAGCTGCCCA